ACTATTACGCTCTGATTACTCCAAAAAAAGCTTCTCCAATATGTTTAGATAGTACAAGGATTTGTATCGAGTCATCAGTGCGTAGAGTAGTCTATTTTGCATCATAATGCAGGTGTATATAGCTATTTCCAGAAAGGTTGTAGGCAAAAATGTGCACGGGACAATCCCGAAAGGTAATATGGAATATGATCAATACGCTGTTCCTGATCCTGTAGCCGTCAAAACTTCTTTTAATTGCTTTCCTTCAGCACCCGCAAACACACGTCCACGGCTTCTTGTGCCATCCTTTCAAATTTCTTTGAAGAACAGCGAACCCAAAACCACCCACAATACCTTTCGTGATTGTCGTGTGCACTTTTTCCGACAACCTTTCTCGAAATAGCTGTACACATTCTTATCGTATGTATGTATGTATGTATGTAAATCTTTATTTAAACACGGGAAATCATCAGTTAAGCTTAAGTTAAAAACTAAAACTAATTACAACTGCTTTACATGATTGCCGTGTGGGAATCCGATATCGACCGATATATCAGCTACCTTCTTGATATTTCGCTTAAAATGCTCAACGGATGCAGCGTTTTTTAAGTTTTTGGGCAAGTTATTCCATAACATGGCCCCGCTGTAAGAGAAGCTTCGTTTCAAATAATTGGTGCTTGGTTTGGACAAGGTCAGCCTTCCCTCAGAGTTTCTTAAGTTGTAAGCAGAGTGACGCTGAGAGAAAAGACTTTGCAGATATTCTGGAGCAAGGTCATTCATGGTTTTATACATCATTACGGCTTTTTGTTTCTTTCGTCGAAGAGATAGCCTCTCCCAGCTGAGGGTGGAGAGAAGGTGGTTTGAGCTCGCATCAAAGGGTGATTTAGTAATAACTCTGGCTGCACGATTCTGTAATTTTTGGAGCTTATCACTCAAGTAACCACTCAAACAGTCCCAGACGGGGCTGCAGTAATCAAAATGAGGCATAATTAAAGCGTTATAAATTTGAATTGCAGTTTCTTTGGATATAAAGGGCCGCACACGTTTTAGGGCGCCTATAGCTGAAGAGACTTTCTTGCAAATCTCTTCAACGTGTTTACCCCAAGAGAGTTGAGCATCTATGGTAAGACCCAAGGATTTGGTATGATCGACTCTCTTAATAATTTGGTCATCAATTCTGATTTCTACATCGTCACATTGGGCAGATAGTCTTTGTCTTGATCCAATAATCATTAGCTCTGTTTTATCAACATTTAGACTGAGCTTGTTAGCTTTCAGCCAACAGCTAAGGTTATTTAATTCAGGGGTTAGAGCTAGCTTAAGCTCTGTTAACGACGTCGTAAAGACAAGAGTGCACCTCCGAACCTTCAATAACGGACACCTCCCGTCAAAGCAGATACTCCGTCAACCATGATTGTCCCGGCCATATACAGACCATGCAAGTCTGGTCACAGGGGCCGGTCCCCTCACTGCAGGTTTTGCTGTATTACACAAACCTTAACGGTTGTGATTATGGTGTAGTAATTTAACAACGAAATTCGTGCAATCGTATGTATATGTTGTGATTCAGTTTTATCCCTGGTTAAAGTTTTATTTCCCTTTGTTTTGGGGTATAGTAATGCATGGTAATGAGTTTGGAACCAAGGTGAAGTACAATTAATTTACACCAGGGTTAATATTGAGCCCCATAAATAAATCATGATTGGGACCAAGTCGCCCAAAACCATACCGGTCGTGGATAACAATACAATTATAAAAGCAAGTTTTCTATAAAATGGAACCAAAAAAATAGCTTTATAATCCATAGAAGCAATGGCACATTCTAATTCATGTGGCGATAAATAGCAAAACGCAAAATGGTTATAGACCTCAGAGGTGTATTAAGCGAACGAAGTCAGTATAACTTTGGTGTCACGATCAGGCGTTGTTCACCCGCGAAGCACTTGCTGTCAGCACGAAAAATTTGATTTACACCAAATTTATTTAGTGCAAATGTAGTGCAAAAAAGTGCAAACTAAGGTTAAATAAAGGGCAAAGATGGCATGCCGCATTTGCTCATGAATTTACAACCCCCATGTTGAAATAGACCGGTATGCAAATGCGCTATTTACCCGTCTTTGCCTTTGATTTCCTCTTCGTTTGCACCCTATTATTTGCCCTGAGCAAACTTGTGAAAATCTAATTTTTCGTGCATGGTACCTGTTTCCTCGTGTACTTTCCGCTCCCAGCATGAAGAAATTCGCGAAAATATCCTGACAAGACAACTTTTGAAGAGCGAAGTTTATTTAGCGTCCTAACGGTTTTAACTACAAAGTTACACTGCACAATGAATAATAATTTTAGCGCGATCTACAGCTAATTGGATATCAACAAAGAATGGTCCGTATTGGGAAAAACGATCTGAACAATCGTCGGCTAATTGAATATGCAATAGCGTTTTGCAACAGTACCGTAGCTTTGCTGCTTATTAGAGTGCTAATAATATTAAATGTTTTTTTCCGTTATAAATACAATCCGATGTTTCCTACGGTCAAACCTGAGTGTATTTTAGCGATCATTTGCTAAGAGTACAGTGTAGGTATTGTTTTAGAGTCTGAAAATTCGTACGTTACACTCGTAAGATTTTTTTTAATTGACTCCTGAGCTGCAGATGCTTGTATTTACAGACTTCTTTTCACACTCCACTAAAAAACAATAGATTATAACATTAACCGATAAGTTTGTCGGTATGATACTCAAGTGATTATGCTGTGCCATAACACTTGAATTTTCCAAGAGTGTGGTAACCTTTCTCATGACTTTCACCTGTATCGCCAAACCTGAGCTGTTTTACTGGAAGCTTTGTCTTGTCCGTGAGGAGACCGCTGTCTTCACGCCATACATTGTCATTCGCATCACAGTTGCAGCGCCCGTTTGCTGCACATGAGTTGTTCATCCCACATGCACACTTGCCACTTCCTGGCGATGCTCCACCCCAATAGGTCATCTTAGTAGAATCACGCGACACCCACCATCCGTATGGATCGTCAAACCAAAAACCTGAGTGGCGACACTTGTACTTGATAAACTGTTCGCAGTGTAAGGAGACACTGGTGAGACTGGCCAGCTGAGAAAGACTCGCTCCTGTGTAATTAATATCACGTGAGTAACTACCTTGACCTTCATATCCATCCACAGTAGTCCTGCTCTCACTGTCGTGACTTATGACTGTCACACCAACTCCATTCTTGTTAGTCATGTCACAGTACACTGAGAATGGCTCCAGATCTCCCTCGCCATCTGGATCAATATTGTAATTTCCACTTTCTGTTGTAGGGTCTCCCTTCTTTAAATAGCTGCAGGATAACCCAACTACAGAGGGAAGGTGTCCAATTAATTTTAGACTGATAATTTTCACAACATACTGGAGCTTCATTATTCAATATGCCCAGTGCACCACATAGAAATTGTAAACAGTCTGACGGATGAAGAAGACTTTACCATTATTTTTGTCAAAAAGGCAAACCGGGGCGTAGAACATTCTCATTCTGATGCGAATCTTAGCGAACTGGAAAAACGCCCTGGAGACTTTTGAGAATGTATTAAAGTATCCGGGTAACATGTGATTGGCTTTTTTTGAAATCTTTGGGTGAATGGTCCGGTTTTATGAGCTAATGGTCTGAGCTTTTCTCAATAAATTCAGGTTAGAAATACACATGAATCTTTAGGAAGTCTTTGGAATTGTTTATGCGCAGTATAGAGCTGTTTTGAGACCTATATTTATGGAGATAACATTGCTGGTCGGGGGGAGGAATTCCGATTCAGCAAGTAAGGTGAGGATACTTAGAAAAACCAAACGGGTGGTGGGTCCTACAAGTTTGTATGGGGTCAAGGGTATGCCCACTTGAGAAGCTACATCAGGGATGGTTTCCACATTCTGGGCGCACACCGACGAATTGGGAGAACCAACCGTAAAATAGTTATCACTTTCATGCATGAGGTCTTGAATGTGATAGTTGTTCTTCAGTAGCCACTCAAAGGCGTCGGCCAAGAGATTACAGAAGTAAGGGCAAGGGGCAAGGAATGGGATCGCAAGCCAAAGGGGTGGCAAAGATCGATGTAAAAGTTGCCCTGCCACTGGATGCTGAGTGGTTCGCAGTTCTCCGGGCAGACTGGTCAGATCAGTGTCAGAAGGCGTATTTGACCAAGTTTGGCCATGAGGGCCGTGATGATGTGCAGCTAGAGAGAGAGCTTGGTGGAAGGTAGCGTAGTGCAAAGTGAAGGCTTCCTTAGGTATGTAATAATAAATTGAAGAACAGAGGAGAGAAGAGATATCAGTGATAAGGCACCAGACGCCACCTTTCTTAGGCACTACCCCGCGGGGGAGCATTGAAAGTTTGGGATTGATGCTGATTTCATTGGTTACGACAAACGAAACTGTCCTAATATATGGGTGTTCGTAAAGTGGGGTTCCACCCCGAATGTTGGAAGTTAAGGGTGGCAACAAAAAATTACAAATAGCACGCTCTTCTGCAAGTTTCAACCCGAAAAAAAAACAACAACAACAAGACTTTAACAGCGTCTTGAAATTAATTGCATTTTCTGCAACACTTCATTGTCGTCCCGGAGGATCTTCTTGCATTGTTTCACTGATCATAATACTTGTTTATGTGTGTCATAAACCCTTGTTATAAATAAGAGAATTTTAGCAAATACAAGGTTGTACTGAAGTTAGCAGAACACGTTTTACCTTCGCATTTTTCACCTCTAAAGTCAGCTGAGCAAACACAAACGTATTTTTTTGTCAGTATATCCCATGTAGCATGTCCCGTGGTTCAGACAGGGGTTCGTGGCGCAAGGATTCTAATTTAAAAGAAATGTATGGAAGAATCAACATCTTAGTTTGTTATCATCATCTTCTGTTCTTTTTTATGTATCCATGGAAATTTTCCCGTTAACAATTTCATTTTGGGAAAATGGGACACCAGAAACGTTGCTTCCCCGTGGTTAACAGGCATTTACTCATGGGTATAACGGCTATTGTGAACCAACCTATATTGTATGCATCTCCAGTAGACCCATTAACTTTATAACTGATACCGTTTTAGAATAAAATTCAAGCAAATCGTTACTACATAGTGATAGTGAATTCTTAAAGTTGGGTTGAGCCATTGTACGTCCTGCCTGTGTGCCTCTGTAGATCCAGTCTTTTCTTGGTTTGAGATCTTCTGGATGCTGCAAGTGATCTGAATTACTGAGTTCACAGGTCAACTTGTTGTTGATCGTTGGACCAATATTATATGAAACACACTCCCTGGCAAGGGCGCATTGGTCTTGGCAGTCTAACTTTAGTTCCACAGAATGATTTGAAAACACGTGTCCTTCGAGGTAAAACCCACTGGCTTGTGCCAGAAATGTGATGCGTCGGTTGTTTTGACCGCAATTTCCTAAAACACAGATTAAAACGGTTGGGCCGAGAGGCACTAATAACGTGTACTCGAACAGGGGTCGGTTTAACGAAGCCATCGCTCAGTGATAAGAACTGACAGCCGGGGCTAAGAAAACCTAGAAATTTACCAAATGTTTCGGTTCTTATATCACAATGCATAGTTATAGCCTGAATTTCAGACGATTACATCGAGTCGTTTTTATTCCCTCAGCAACTTCTGAATCAATCTACTGTTAATGCCGTCCAGTGACGTCACTACCCCTTTGCTTTAATTCATGCAAGAACTGAAACACGATTATCAATTGGCAAACAAAGAAGTATCGTCTGGAAACGTCTAGATACAGAACTGCTTCACAATTTTTGATCGCAATCAGGGGCGTAGCGTCCTTTACGCAAATACGCACGTCCGTACTTGAGAAATTGGTAAGATTTTTTAAAAGATTTTCTGTTATTAGTAAAAGCCATTTGTAGTGTTGTGACTTCACTTTGTATTGTGCAGATTTCTTCCTGTCTGTCTCTCTGTTATTCAACATCGTTTTTACACTTAAAACACAACAGTTTGAGTAGTAGAATGTGATAAATTCGAAACATTCTTGAAATGTTTGCCTTCAGGCGATCCCACAATACATTGCGTATTCATGAAAATCGGGAAAAAATAGACTGACTGATTATCACTCCTTTTAAGATTTACTTGGAAAGTTTTCCCATCCAAAAGCTTTTCATTTTTTCAGTTTTCTCTCTCCCTCCATAAATGTCGATAAAAGTCTATTAAAGACTACTTTATAATGTCGCTCAACTGGAAAATCATGGGCAAAACCATGCCGACGATAATCCACGTATAAAGTTGAAGCAAACTACGTTTGGCGCGGTGTCAACAAGAATATTGCATGAAATTTACTCCTAGTGAACAGATGTAGTATTTTTTCATTCATATTCAGAGCAAATGAAAATAAATAAATGCTGGCTATCAATTGTTTGTTCCTGTCCCGTGCTCATGATCGAAATAAGGGAAAAACGCAAAAATTCAGCAAAGGGCTAAGCGTGCGGAAATTTACACAAACATGCTCCTGTACCAGCTAGCTCATGTCAAAGAAGAACGTTTTGAAAGCTTTTTTGATATCATGTTCTATTGTGAACATGCCTGTAAACTGCCAATTGTGTATTTAAGGAAAGCAAAAAACACTATTTTGTACGAGGTTTTTAAAACCATGTAGACCCGTGTGCGTAGTTGTCAAAATGGTCACGCTACGCCCTTGGCAATTCATGGGTGACCTTTAAACTGTCCACTGCATGCAGTACTCTGAACGGATCTGTTGTATATTCAATAATCAAACTCGACCGCAATCACGCAATGAAACAAGAACGCTCTTACTAGTGTGAGTCTCGCTTGCTTGGAGCCCATGGGGCTTGGAGATAAGTTTTGTTGTCAAACAAGCTGGTGCTGTTATGCTACATTTTCGTTTTGAATACAAAGCAAGTATGATATATGTCATAATGTAAATTTCACAACGTAAACATTGGAATGAAAGACAGGCCACACATCTTAGCTTCACACTGGTGTGAAACCTTTGAAACCTTTTACATATTGATATTGCTCCAGTGAGGGGAACTCTTTTGGGATTTTACACTCAAAAAATTGAACGATGATGTTTATCAGTATAAATATATATATAGCTTCTATGTTGCGGACCAAGATACGGCTCGGTACAGTTTTTGTTCAGTACAGGAAAAATGTGTAAGTTTAGCAGAACCCTATACAACAGACATTTAATTCAGTTCGCGCGTATTCCTGTTGAATTTGTTGTCCGTTTTATAAGATATCAAAATCGCATGAAAGTAATTGCATTTTCCATAGCTGCTTAGTATCTGCTTTTGATATCTCCATACAGCTGGTGTTCACGCGAACTCAGAGTAGAATTTTTAGAGCTGTACACAACATGCATTTTGTCACAGTATCACTGGGGTAAAGCGTTTCCTTTTCCACGAAAATTTCACTTTCTCGTCAAAAAAATCACTGACTCAGTCAGACTCGGACTAGTTTACCGTATGGTACTTAAATTTAGCCATTGCTCAGTACAGCGAACGGGATTATGTATTGTCAAATTTATCTACAGTCTGCGGCCCACAATGACATCATCACGATCCACGATTTATTTAAAATTTATTTTATTTCAAGTTTTTTTAAAACGATCCTCGATCCCTGATGCCTGATCCCCGATTCTCGATCCTAATTTTCCAGTAAACCTTGAAGTTTTGCTCATTAACTGATGATTAATCTTTTTTGGGCCACTGAAGTAATCACTTGTTCTAAAGTAATCAACGCTTTCAAGCGATAGAGTTCGTGGACCGACCCGTTCCGGAAAAGCTCGATATGGGATTTCTATTCTATGGACATGGACCGATATGAAGTGCTGCAAGTAGAGTGTGTGATGGTCAAGTACAAAGCTACCCGTCTAAGCACATCATACGCATACGTAACGTCAGAAGGGTAGCTGAAGTTGCTTGCAGTAGTAGTCGAAGGTTAAGTCATTAATATCTCAAGTATTTATAAGGCCGCAAGGCGACGTCATATCTTGCAACTGCGAAAATCTGTCAATTAATAAAATACATACAACAAAGTGAATCTATTTAACCGTAGAGTTTCAGTAATTGCCACAATATTCTGAAAAATGTAACGCCTCAATACACTACAAAACAGAATTTCCCCGCTACAATATTTCCTCATCGAGGTATTTACTTTTTAATACGCGTGGATAATTACACGAAAATGAAGGGTCTCGAATCGGGGAAAATTGCATCATTGCCAAACAGCTAAAAACGTGATCAACTTACATGCGTCATTTCAGTCATCGCCGAAAATAAGCCGCATGCTCGTCACGAGACTCATTTGAATACAATAAAATTCGTCACGATTCTTATCCCCAGTTTCCACGGTCTCCGCTAGGATCGCTTGGGAGCATGGCGCCCTAATTGGTGGCCACTGACAAAGACAAATAAAAAAAACAAACGCCTGCATTTTTAGAGTCTCGCTCTGCTAAAGCAAGCTCGACTAATAAGCTTAAATACACACACGGAACACTTCAAAAACACAACAATTTGCTTTAATTGAAAAGAAGCTATTTTGGCCCTATAATGAAGAAGAAAACAACAAGACAACAAGAAAGAAAAGCTAACAGAATCATTACACTTGACGGTAGAAATGACAAAAGAATGTCCAATTATAACTTAAATCCCAGAAAACGTCACGCAAACAAAGTCACTGCCGAAACCACAAAGCGGCTCTAAAAGAAAAACCTACCGACTCTCCGCAAAGATTCTTCATCCGTAGTTCAATTTAACAATTTATAGTTTGGAAGACAAAGGCAATTTTGCTGTTTATATTACGATAAAGACTGTCGAAATTAAATTTTTCAACTTCATTCAAGTATGCCAGGCATGCTATACGCTGAATATCAAACGACAATCCTGCTAAAATTTCTTCTCGCACAGTGGGTATCTTCTTCATTTTTTTGTTAAGTTAATTAGAAGCAGTCTATGACGACAAAAGCAGAGAGAATCTGATCAAAGCATTTCCCTGCGATAAGGTGAATATGATTCTTGAGATCTAGTTAAATTAACAAGGAATTTTTCTCTGTTTCACAATGCCTTATAAGAAAAAAGGAAACGGCTGGTACTGTTGAAAAAAGTGCTTCGAGCAATTAAAAGAAGGACTTACTATTTAAATTTTCACA